GTACAGTTTGATAGGGCTTGACACACGTAGACATCTGTAAAACCATCCCCCAAATCAAGATAATGAGAATGTTCATTTTTCTTTGTACTTAGTAATCTCTTGCTTGTGCCTGTTTCTGACTCATCCCAGCCGCTGAGAAGCATTTCTCATTACATAGATTAGTTTTTCTTTCCTTAAATTTCATATAAAAAGTGTGTATTCCTTTTTGCCTGCTATTTTTCAATCAGCATAATTTTGAGATCTACCTATATTGTAGCTCATATCAATATTATCGTATCGATATTTAGTTCCTCTTATTGCGGAACAGCAATCATGTGGATAGATGGCAATTTGTTTATCTTTTCATCTGATAATGAACATTTTGATTGTTTATATAGTTTTTGACTATTAAAAGAAAGCTGTTATGGACATCCCTGTACAAGTCATTATAGGGTCAGATGATCTCATTGCCCCTGGCCAAATACCTTATTGTGGAATGGCTGGATCATATGATAAGTAACCCTTTCATTTGTAAAGAAAATGCCAAACTGGTTTCCAATGTGATTATGCCACCATTTTACATTCCCATCAGCAGCGGGTGAGAGTTCAGCTTCTTTCACATGTTTGCTTACATTTGGGATTGTTGGTCATTTAATTTTTCTTTAAAATTAAAAACTTTAAGGGAAGCCACTCTAATGAGTGTTTCATTGTGTTTTTAATTTGCATCTCCACCGTGATTGATGATACCGAATATAGTTTCTCCTACTTTCTGTCATTCATAAATTTTTTGGTGAAGTGTTATGTTCAAGTATTTTGCAGATATATATATATATTTATGTGTGTCCCCATTTATATGTTAAGCCATTTTATACAGTTTTTTATTTCTTATGGTTATTATCTGGATTTTTGATACAGTACTGCTTCTACTCAGGCCTTCGATATGTATCCTTCTCTATATTACTTTTTTTCATTGTGCAAGTCAGATAGTTTCTACATTAGTTTCCTCAGTTGCTCAGTGATAATTTGAGATACTACTTATCTCCCATGAATAGCTGAAAGAATGAAATAAGAAAATGCATACAGATCACATAAATCACAGTGGAAAGACTTATATAGCTTAACAAAGAAAACTTACATGTATTACGTTGTTGCCATCATGTATGAGTAGTGAGGTTGAAATCCTGTTATGATTAATATAGGGAAGTGTCACATGTGTAGTTTTGAAGTAAGCTCCCTGCTCTCAAATGAGCTTCTTAAAGTGTGCCATGAACAGAAGGGGACGCTCACAATTTTGCTGTGCTTACGCTCTGCTATTAGAATGTGATTGATGCCCACCAGGCCATTTATCACGGATTGTACTTCTCTGTATCCATCTTTGCTTTTATATTCCCCAATTTTTGCTACCTTTAAAATCCGGGTCCCTAAAGAGAGGTTATGAAAATGATTGTTCAGAGTGGTGTTAAATGCCAAGTGCTGCTACTAGTCTTTTAGGAAAGTTGGTGCTCTTCATATGACTGTTTATCCCCCAAGCAATAAAATACACAGATATAAAACAAATGTAATACAAGGAAGGTAATGAAAAGCAGTCCCATAAAACATGACGCACATTTCAATGCCCACGTTAACCTGTCAGGAATACTTCTTTTTCCCATTATAATTTGCTAGACTTTGAAGATGCCAGGATCTGGTGAGTGTTAATGTTCATCGTATTGTCATTTTGATTTCTCATATTCATAGAAAATTTAATATTCTAACAAAATATAAACTGGGAACATCACCTCTTGCTCTTCACAGCTCGTTTCTTTCTTAGTTTTAGTGGCCTCGTGCTTCTCTGGGGTTCTTGCTGCTTTTTCACTTTCCTCTCCTCTCATCTAAACTTCTTTGCAATCTTGAAATTTCACTCTCTAATGTATCCATTTTTTAAAGCCTCATCAAATATGTTACCTTCTCTATAAGGTGTTATATGACACCACTCAGAATTAATCACTACTTTTTTTGGTGTCAATCTTTGCTTGTCTCAAGAACATATCATGATACATTCCTTGTATATATGTGTGTATATGTCTGTGTTTATGTATAGTTATGTCTTTAAGGGCAGAGCCTATTATCTTATTTATTTTTAAATCCCTGGGCCTAGTCCATTATTTGACACATATTACAAAATAAACACACAGTGAAGCTTTACAAATGCCCAAA